GGAACAAAAAGAGGCGGGGCCAAAGGAAGCAGGTGGAAAAATAAAAAACCTGAAGACTGATTTAAAATGAAATGATTAGAATGACATCAGAGGATGTTGGTGCTGATGACTGCACACAAGCCTCGCTCTAAAACTACAGTAGCTCATTTCCTGTTGACATGCGATGGACAGCTGAGCACTGATCATGTGACTTTGACTTGTCCCCCCTGGTCAGTGAGCAAACTGTGTAAAACACTCATGAGTGGTGCTGGGGTGGAGGTTTGACTGCACGAGTCGACGGGGCTGTGAAACTACAAAGAGCGTGCACGTGCCACTCTGCTCGAGAACAACACCTGCATACGTGTCGGCACATATGATCCCAGTGTTTATTAAAACGACCTTTTCAATTCAGAACTGAAAAGACAAAAACATTTATTATAATATTTGTTATTAAATCAGTAGTTTGACTGTTGACAGGAAGGTGCAGGCCTTCCTGTGTCCACCTGCTCACAGGCCCACCACACTGCATGTCCTGTACCACATGGTCACATGACATTATCAGCTGACTAAATCACAGCGAGCAACACTACCATGTGACCTCTGGGTGCTGCACGTCTGCTCTTCGTCACACGTGGTGAACGATGCTGAGCGATGTGCCCACCAGCTGCTCCGTGTAGTGTGGAACCTCTGGCTGATGTTTTTCCCGCTGTCGCCCACAGAACGCCGCTCGGATCGTGAGGGCCTTGTTTGAGATCGCTTTGAGGAAGCGCTGGCCGCTTATGACCCGTCGACTGCTCACCCTGTGCAAGGTGATCGACAAGCGGCTGTGGGACTCTGCCCACCCCCTCCGGCAGTTCCCCAACCTGAGCCCTGTCGTGCTGAACCGCTTGGAGGAGAAGAAGCTGACTGTGGACAAACTGAAGGAGATGAGGAAGGATGACATTGGTGAGTGCAGCCCAGTGTTTCTGTGCTGCAGAGGCCTTTCACAGCACTGCTGTGCAACACTGGCATCACCGCACTTTGTTCGACTTTGCCTTGTTTATTGAAACCACAGTAAATCGTGCCGGTGCAGCCGTGTGTCTGTCCTGACGGGATCATACTGTTTTTATTAACTGCAGCTTTAAAGAAGAGAAAAGTGTTTTGAGTGGAAGAAGCTCAGACTAGTGCTTAATCCAACATAAGCCGAGCTTTTATTTAAGTATTAGCTTTTGCTGATAAACAGAAAGTTCACGCACACTGGTTTTAATAAACACCTTAATACCAGGTGTACTTTTTCCAGGTCACATGCTGCACCACGTCAACATCGGGTTAACGGTCAAACAGTGTGTCCACCAGATCCCCTCGATCTCAATGGAGGCCACCATCCAGCCAATCACACGCACCGTGCTGCGTGTTCGTCTCATCGTCACGCCTGATTTTCGCTGGAATGACCAGGTACAGACAGATTACGTATCCTTGAGTCAGGATGGTTCGCCGTGCAGCATTTTCCAGAGACGGTCAAATGTTTTACAGCTGACCTGAGTGTGAGGGGCAGATGTCAGGGTTAGATCAACCTTTGATCTGCTGTGCCATATTTACAGTTCAAGCCTCCGACCGTCCTTTCATCCATCGCCTCAGGTGACCCAAGGGAACAGAACGCTAAGCAGGACATTCCAGATTGATTGATTGATCATACTTTATTCATCCCGAGGGAAGTTACCCTCCGACCACACATACATAACACAAACATCACATGGGGAACACAGGTCAGAGAGGTGTAACAATGGAAAATGCACCACATGAGGAAAGACGCCCTCTCCCCACTTTCCAGTTCCTCCTGGGGGATCCCACAGTGTCCCCAGGCCAGATGACATGTCCTGGGTCACCTCCCAGTTAGAAAACCTCCAAAGGGACGTGCCAAGGAAACATCCCCGAACCGCATGCAGGCGCTCTACTCCGAGCTCATCGCCCCTCTGTAAGCCTGAGCCCAGCCGCCCATTACCATAGCAACCTTATTTGTAAGGGACTTTAGAACAACACAATGGACCAACGTGCTGCACAGCAAAGACATCAAGACAGATTCAAATGAAAAAGACAGAAAACAACAAAAATGAAATCAACAGGAGGTGACCAGCCAGAGGAGGCGCCGGTGTCACATGTTAGGAGCTGCAGCAGCAAAGGCCCCTCCCCTCTGAGCTCACTGCGAGTCTGCGGGCAGCGCCGCTTCTAAGACCCAGAGACTGAAAGGAGCCTGGCTGTTCTGAACAGTCAGGGACTCGTCCCCACACAGCGCCTCTCACCACGGGACACTCTGGAATAACAAAGGCTCCAGCCCTCTCCCAAAGTTCCCCCTCCTTAGTTTACATCGTGGCTTCTGCTGTGAACATATCATCCACCCCTTTAATTATGCTTTTAAACACATTATGGTGTCACATACTGATGCATGCATCGGGGCAGTTTGCTCAGAGACGTGCGGACCTTAAGGCCGATGGACGCTCCCTCCTACTGAGCACAGAAAAATGAGGAGTCCAGGGAGAGCTGGGCTGTCCATATGTTCGTTCTCCTCCTGTGCTCGGGCACCAGATACATACCAAAACTACTCACAGACATTCATATTTCCACACTGGCCCAAAGAAGAGCACCCCACCTACCTTGTTCTCCCAGCCAGGGAATCTCCATCTGTCCCTGAGAGCCAGCCTGTCCCACCTTAGTGGGCAGCAGGGATCATGTGAAGCTTAGTCCAAAGTTTGTCACGCACAGAAAGCTCGTTGCAGGGCTGAATACGAAGATGAATGTTTATGTCCGATTAGCAATGCATGCTGCAATCATGGGAGAGTGGTAATGGAATACCGGCTGGCTTAACTGTGATCCTGCTGCAGAGCCGCGACACATGCACCGACACATGAGCCACTTCCCTGGTGGCGGCCAGGAAACGCACCACGCTGACTCATTATGATACAGGATGACATCATTCTCCAAGCAGCGTTGGCTGTTTGTGGCAAACTGCCGGCTGGTTTGGTGAGTTAGGTTGTAACATCAGCACGGGGCATTCAAATGTTTGTCATGTCCCCAAATTCAAGTGATTCCCCCGAGTGCTGTGTACACGCTCACAGGTGGGCATGAACAGAACCCAGCTCCAGGTCACCTCGGAACTCTAGCAAGGGGGGGCACAGTGCTTCTGCTTATTGGACTGACTCCATGATGGTGAGATGGGGCTCTGTGGGTCCTCGCCATCTGTTACAGGATCCATGTTCATCTTTGCCAAAGAAAGTTTCATGTGACTTTACAGGGACACAGAGAGCGTATGATGTGTAACGATGTGTAAGACATCCTGGGTTTCCCTCTGGCACAGGTCGGGGTGTCCAGCTCCAGGCCTCGAGGGCCCGTGTGCTGCAGGTTTACACGTGTCAGCTGATTTAATGGCCTCCTCAAAATGTTCTGAAGTTCTCCAGAGATCAACTAATCGTGTGATTCAGGTGTGCTGACCCAGGGGGAGGTCTAAAACCTGCAGGACCCTGGCCCTCGAGGCCTGGAGTTGCCCACCCCTGGTCTAAGTGGTAGTAGTACCAGACATTCATGGGGGGGTTAAAAACCTTAACTCTCTTTCTGTGCTGTTTCCAAAACTTCAATTCAGTGATAGATGAATGTTTATACTAATTTCCTGCTTCTTCGTTTCAAACTATGGCAGTTGTTGTTAGACTTCTACATGACACCTACACATGTTTCAAGAATGCACAGATGTGGCCAGTGATGCATGTAGACAGACGGACGTGCAGACAGATGCCATTTTTCAAACATAAAAAACAAAAACATCTTTTGCAAAAGAGAGAGAGATTAAAGGCTTTCAAACGAGCTGCACTCAGTGGCTTTTGTAGCTCTTGGGATTTGTGCAGTTTCTCTGGGCCTTGCAGGGCGAACCTGGGTTAATCAGGGAACTAAAATAAGTGTTGGTTCCCTGAAAAGACTGTAATTCAACGCTGTTCTTTGTGTGGTTCAGGTCCATGGATCAGTGGGTGAGCCCTGGTGGTTGTGGGTGGAAGATGCCATGAATGATCACATCTACCACTCTGAGTACTTCCTGCTGCAGAAGAAACAGGTCTGCTGTATGAGTCTCAGCTCAGATGAACACAAAGCACAGAGAATGACGCGTCTGTTCTCCTCAGGTGGTGTCAGGAGAGCCTCAGCACATCGTGTTCACCATTCCCATCTTTGAGCCGTTGCCCTCACAGTACTACATCAGGGCCGTCTCTGACCGATGGCTCGGTGCTGAAGCTGTCTGCATTATCAACTTCCAGGACCTGATCTTACCAGAGCGACACCCCCCACACACTGGTACACACTCAGACACACAGTGCCCCCACAGGCCTTCATGATGTTACTCTGAGCTCTGTGAAGAAGGTGGACCTGTACTTACAGCCCTTTTAGTAGAAGCTGTATTCACTGATTTTGTTCACATATTTATTGATTGATTTTTGCATTTACACCCACGGATCTGTCTGCAGCACTTTGGTGTTGTTAGGGTCGAAGCGCTGACCTTCAGATTACTGGACTCTACTTCTTGAGCCACACTGGTTATGTCAGATACAGCCTAGAAGGCTATAAGTGTAGTTTGTCCAAATAAGGACACTGACTGATCAGCTGACCTTCTCATTATTAGACAAACCAGTCAAGGCCATAATAAGCAGAGCTGCAGAGCCGTGTGTCCACTTCAGCCACAGCTGGAGCTTTGGACATAAAAGCTCTGAGTGCTCTGTCTCTTACTGGAACCAGAGCGCACTGATCATCACGATAAGGTTTGAAAAAGTAAACTGCCCAACATCAGCTGCTGGGGACAAGCCTGCACACTGGGGCCAGGTCACGTTACACTCTGATCAGCATCACAGTTTGGATGCAAAAGTCTCACATTGGTTTCTGTTGTTTCTAATAATCATTGTATCATGTGGCCACCTTTAAACTCTGTTGTCTTGTGACCCTTGTCCCATGATCCTTTGCATGACTTCTTCACTCTCAGAGCTACTAGACCTCCAGCCGTTGCCAGTGGCTGCTCTGGGTAACCGAGAGTACGAGAGCCTTTACAAGTTCACTCACTTCAACCCCATCCAGACCCAAATCTTCCACACACTGTACCACACCGACACCAACGTGTTGCTGGGAGCGCCGACGGGCTCTGGAAAAACCATCGCAGCAGAGATGGCCATGTTCCGGGTCTTCAACAAGTATCCGTCATCCAAGGTAGCGTCCCCGAGTCCCTCTGTAGGCATGTAAGGAACAGAGAACCCTCCGCAGTGCCGTGTACAGCATCAGCTCTTTGCTTTTACAGTCATCGTAGCATCATTCCATCAAAGCTGTGTAGGCCCTAACACTGCATTTCATTGAGACATGATGTAAATTCAGATGACTACATAAGTATATATGAACTGTGGGTTTGGACATTGGGGATTTTAGGAATAGATCAATTAAAGGAAAAGGATGTGCTGGAAGGTGAAAACAAGCACACCGCTGCAGAACTTTGAGCTCTCTGGTTTTGTTTTCATAATTCTTGCACTTGTTTGAGAGTCAAAACTGAATTGAAGTGAACATCTGCTCCATTATAAGCAACTGTGTGATGGTCATAGTCTGCACAGCTGGAAGTGTTAGCCTCACTATAGTGGGCTAACTGGTAAACAGTGACGCAGCGGGCTAGTCCATTTTATTGCAACAACACACGGTCACATGCTGGCTGTACCGTAATGATCACATCGTGTGTTTAAAACGAGATTCATTCAAGAGTTTCCTCTGATTTTATTTCAGGCGATGACCTCATTAAGAGGAGGAACAGGGCTAAAAGTGGGAAAAGCCATTACCAGTAATCTGGTAGCTACTCTGAGGAATATGAACATAGTTCTGGTGTCTGTAGCTTTGTTCTACACGACTCTCGTTACGTCCATAACTTTGACTTGTATTAGCAAATTTAGAGGAAGTCGTCATGAAGAATTTTGCTCTTTAGGTCGATGGTTAGTGTACCCACAGGACAACGCTAACAGAGTCAGCTGTGGCTCCTGGAGGTTCCTCAGCAACGCACCGAGCTGCACTGCTTATAAGGAATCCACTGTTACTTCAACATCAGCTCTGGGGCTTTGATGGTGTGAATGACGTCCACTTAGTCTGGTTAACTGTTTGCTTTGCAGTCCACCTGCTGTTGTCACTGACTGTGAATGAATGAATGCACAGCACACATACACAGAATTATTCTTTATAAAAGGCAATGAGTCTGTCAACGGTCTGCATGTTACTGTTATTTTTGGCCGTTTGATAAAAATGTATTTCAGCCCTGGAGAAAGAAACCCTAATGATGAGTGTAAACGCTCTCTGTGGATCGCCTTACTGTGGTCGTTTCACTCATGTAATAAACAGGATCCACACCCTTCCTTACCCTGTGACCCCTGGATCCCAGCAGCAGTCAGCACAGGTGGTTTAAACACACAGCAAAGGCAGCTGAGATGCTCCAGCAGAGCAGTCAGTGTAGGGAAACTAGCCGAGCTTGATCGAGTTATTGTTTGCCTGTGTTCTGTGTTTAGGTCGTGTATATTGCCCCTTTGAAGGCCCTGGTGAGGGAGCGCATTGAGGACTGGAAGGTCAGGATTGAAGAGAAACTTGGAAAAAAGTAAGAACAGAGAAACTCTGCATGTGAAGAGGCCTTAAACACATGAAACTAGCTAATGATGACATGGTTTTTAAACTGGTATCAATTAGGTCTTAAACATAATCGAGTTACTCCTGCAGACACACTGTAAATGCTGTTTATATGACACCAACAAACAGTTTCTTCTTGTGCTTGTGAAGCGTGGTGGAGCTGACCGGGGACGTGACTCCAGACATGAGAGCCATAGCAAAAGCTGACCTGATCGTCACCACGCCCGAAAAGTGGGATGGAGTCAGCAGGAGTTGGCAGAATCGAAGCTACGTCCAGAAAGTAGCTATTCTCATTATCGATGAGATCCACCTGCTGGGTAAGAGTCTACAGCACACCTGGGCCCGCTGGTGTGGGGCAGGTCCTACCTGTATGCTCTTCACCACGGCTCAAAAAAGCTTTTGCTCCATGTAGCCCATGATGTCCTAAATATAAACATGTGAAGGCCCTGAAACAGGACTCCCTGTTAGCTGTGTTAGCGTTAGCACTGTGTCTGTTTCCAGGTGAGGACAGAGGTCCGGTCCTCGAGGTCATTGTGTCCAGGACCAACTTCATCTCGTCTCACACTTCCAAGAGTGTTCGAGTAGTTGGGCTGTCCACGGCTCTGGCCAACGCTCGAGACCTGGCTGACTGGTTGGGCATCGGACAGGTCGGCACCTGCATTACATCACACTAGGGCTGGGCGATATGGCCTAAAATCCACATCGCGGTATAATCTGAAACATGTGCGCTTACGATATATCGTGATATATTCTTTTCTTCTGTATAACGCATTGTACACACTATAAGGCGCACTTAAAATCCTATCATGTTCTCAAATATCGACAGTGCGCCTTATAATCCGGTGCTCCTTATGTATGAATTCTGGTTGTGCTCACTGACCTCGAACCGATTTTATGTGCTACACGGCGCTCAAACATCTGTCAAAAATGTTTTAGTGCGACTTTGCTAAGCTATGAAGCCGCACCGCCTGATGGATTGTTGGAGCATTATGGCTGCCGTAGTCAGGAGCCTCGCGGAGGAATCTGGGTCCTAAACTCCGTCTGCCTCAGGTCCCAAAGTCAAACGAACACTGAGAGTTAAAAACTGTCTAAATTCTTTCATCTTTAATAAAATGAACAGCGTTGATGCTTTACCAGGTGTAACTATGAAGTTTAACATCCAGGCATCCATGAAAACAGAATTTATTAAATATAACAGAGTTAGAAGTTAGCAGGAAGTTAGCTCGCTAGCTTCCACCTAAACATGTTATAGCATGTTCTGACTGAGAGATTTCTGAAACATTCAAACGTACAGCTCTGTTATCACTTCCAACATAAATGAAGACAGAAAACTAAACAGCAGTGACGTTTGTAGGGTTACTGAAGTTGGGCTAGCTGGTTTATAATGATGTACTACGTGATCGCTAGCGACACAGCTATGTTAGCATAGCATAAACAGTGAAGCTGGAGGATGAACGCTAACTTTTTTCCACTCGATAAAAGTTAACATGAGGGTTCCTGATGGTTAGAGACAAATGCAATCGCATGGCAGGATGCTGTACACGGACCAAACTTCAGTCAGGAGAACAACTGAGATAATCCATCCACAATACGAGGTTAGTCATTAACCCTTTAAGACCTACCATAGCACCAAGTCCACCAGAGCTTATCTTTATATTCTTACATGCTGTGGAGCCATTTGTGGGAGCATTTCAAGTTGCTATACATCAATACAACCATTATAGTCCAAATTTTAATAATATGTCTGCATTAAGTGCATAGTAATTACATAAATTGCAAAAAAGTGCAATAAACTACAAAAAAATTGAAGATCGTTTTTGTTTTTTTTAAATATATTTCTAGTTAGAGAAATTTAAGAGGCTTATCCCTCAAAACTGTAAATACAAAAAAGTTGCACAAAATAGTTTCCAACCGGGGGAAATTTATTTTGAGTGTCTTCATAGTTTGATTTTTGAGATACACCAATTTTTATATACTGCAGGAAAAACGAAAATAAATATTATAGTGCAAATTTGCAAAAAAACAGTCAGAATCTCTACCGGTGGCCAAATTTATATTGTTTCTAACGTATACCGTTTATACCGCCCACCCCTACATCACACACTGCCATCCTTTATATACAGGCTTACCAGCTAAAGTCAGTCAAATATTTTGTAACGTAAAACAGCGTCTGTCTGTGTGAGCGTGTGTGTGTGTGCGTGCGTGCGCGTGTTAGCGCACGTGTGTGTGTGTGTGTGTGTGTGCGCGTGTCTGCGTGCATGTGTGTGTGCGTGTGCGTTAGCGCACGTGTGTGTGCGTGTGTGTGTTAGCGAGCGCACATGTGCGCGCACGTGTGCGTGTGTGTGTGTGTGTGTGCGCGTTTGTGCGTGCGTGCCTACGTGTGTCAGTTCACGTATAGCTTTGGATGGCTGTCTGCTTGCTCTTTGTTGTTCAGGCAGAAACCATAAATATCCATTCTCTGTTTTCATGTCTGTATCATTGTATCAGTGTGACATATATGATACATAATAACAACATTGAGCATCAGAGTGATGGAGAGGAAACATTTTACTGTAACACTGATGTCACATTCTCAGCTCTTAACATGCATACAAGGCTCGTTGTGCTCTCGTCCTGAGCCAACTGCGTCCAGGGTCGTAGGACTAAATCTGTGTTCACTAGTTAATATTTGATCATCTATCATAGATTAGAATTCAGATTCTTCTTGTTTTCACATCATAATGAAGTGTTTAGTTTTCTTATTTTTCCCACTCATGTTTTGTCTTTTAATGACTGTTTATGTCACACAGGCAGACAAAGACACACATGTGGCATTGGCTCCACCCAGGGTAATAGTTACTCATGGTAATAGTAACTCAGGGTAATAGTTACTCTGCTAGTGGTGGAAACTGTCCCAGTTCAAACAAAGGACAAAGTCCTCATCATGCTCAGTTTGGTGTTGAAGCTGTACCTGTGCACTGCTCGTGCCCTGCAGCTGCTGCTCAATGATGAGCTTCATCAGCAGCCTCCATGTTTGTGTGTAGTCCATCCAGTACTTTGATTTTGTGGTGTGTCATGAACATTAGAGACTAAAAGGAGCTTGCAGCAGTTTAACAAACCTTTATATCAGCCAGTCTTTGTAGTGTGTGTAGATGTGAGTTACAGTTTGCACCATCAGAGTCAAACACTGGAGCTTTCCTTTGCTCTGCCTTCAGAGCTGTAGAGGAGACGTGCTGTCTTTGTGTTGTCCATAAATCTGGCTGCTTGGCTGCTGTTGGGACTGAGCTGCTAATCCATTATCCAGGCTTTTAAGACATCTGCACACATGCTGCAGCCCTCAATATAATAACACTGCAAAAAATGCCACACACACTTTCAACATGCTATCACACAGTAAGTTCACTTTGGCCATAGCGCCTTATCACACAGTAAACACAGAGAGCAGCTCTGTGCCTGCATGACAGTGACAGAGTGTTCACATTGCAGACAGACGGGCCTCCTGTTGCCAGCTGCGCACATTAAATCTCTCTTCTTCTCGTCTTTGGTCTAACAGGTGGGTTTGTTTAACTTCCGTCCGTCTGTGCGCCCGGTCCCACTTGAAGTTCACATCCACGGTTTTCCAGGACAGCACTACTGCCCCCGCATGGCCAGCATGAACAAGCCCACCTTCCAAGGTGCAGCTTTGTACACACTGTTTTTGCACGTTAGCACATGTGCACGTGAGATGTTGCTGGCTTTTCATGCAGCATTGTTTGGTAATACTCCTTGACCATGTGCAATATTGAAACTAACTACTGTTTTGGACTCTCCACAGCGATACGCGCTCACTCTCCAGCCAAGCCTGTGCTCATTTTTGTGTCATCACGAAGGCAAACTCGCCTGACCGCCCTGGACCTCATCGCCTACCTGGCTACAGAGGACAACCCCAAACAGTGGCTGCACCAGGATGAGAGAGAGGTTTGCTGACACACAGCAGCTCTTTCATGCACGCTGTGCTCATATGTCATAATAATATTCAAACGTTTTAAAGACCCTCAAGGTCACCTTACATTAGTACAACAAAATCAAAACAAGAATAAGTAGTGTATATATATTACACACACAGACACACACACACACTTCTGTTTATCCGGGGCTGGGTCGTGGGGGCAGTAGCCCAATCAGAGAAGCCCAGGCCTCCCTCTCCCGCCTCCTGCAGCTGGCCTGGGAGCACCCAGGCGTTCCCAGGCCAGGCGTTGGGTGATTGTGGAAAACCACCCAGTTCTACTGCTGACTGCTGCTGAGCTTTATTTCTAAATGTTATGTGTCCTTCTGTCCTTCCATCATAACATTACTGTCACTTCTAGAGACACTGGTCCCACAGCAGGATACTCCCACAGCCGTGTTTCACTGCTGGGGCGGCGTTCACCCTCCCTTCTGATGCCAAATATATGATTAATTCATAGATTTGGATTCTTTATTAATGATGTTCACAGTGAATGTATTGAAGTTAGGCCTCCCTTCATGGACACTGAGAACATGTAATGAGCTGAGCACTGTGCCCTTCTGTTACCTGTTTATTTATCTGGATTAACATTACTAATCTAACCTAAATTATAGATGTCAAAGTCATAGATCTGCTTTCCTGGGCCCTGCAGACTCAGTAAATATGCAGTGTCTTATACCATAGACAGATTTCTGTGTGTATAGCCCTCCTGCCTCAGTGTGTGTGTGTTCCATTGATATATGCCGCTGCCTGCTGCTTCCCTGCACCGGCCTGTGTAACAGCTCAGCTTCCTGCTGTTTGACTGACAGGCTTCTAGTGATGGCTGCTTAACGCTCGCCGGGGGTCACCGCCACGACAAATCCCATCTCTGGCCTGACAGCTCTTTCTTCCCTCTGCTGCTGCTCTCAGGGCCTGATGTTTCTCTTCCATTTGATTTCTACAGCCTGAGCGTTATTATCTCATACCCACTGTTTCACTTCAGTTAGTGTATTTGAAATTTAAAATGTAATTTGAATCACTGTTTTTATTCAACGTCATATTTCTTCCTCCCAAAGCTGGGTTGGAATTGGTTCTTATGTGCATCGTTTCATTTTACTGCTACACAGACACTTCCCAGAATAATGACATATTATCTCATATATATATATATATA